TCACCTGGTAAAGCAACAAAAGCATCAGCATGTCGAGCCATCTCGGCCTTTCTTTGATGCATTCCTGATACAGCTCTGACCTCTCCTACTGTCTCTCCAGTTATCTGAAAATGCAAAATTGATATGACAATACGTAGGCCATCTTCTTGTGGGGATTTGATTTGCTTAAGAGAGGTCTTCTGAAAGGAATTTGATAACGTTTCACATAATTCCGAAGGTATTTTTCACAAAAAGAAAAAAAAACTACTGGATTTTCAAGAACCATAGTTGTACCATAACATTAAAAGATAAAACACAATTAATAGGACAAAAGAATAGGAAAAGAAAGAAGAACCAAATAGGACAAAAGATGGCTCCAGAAAAAAAAACTACTGGATTTTCCGAAGGTATAATTCCGAAGATATCTCGATGAATAGGACAAAAGATACACGTAAAAAAAAAGAACCAAATACAAATTAACTTCAATAGGAAAAACTAAAAAAAGTACATCTGTGCCCGCACTAAGAAGGTAAAACACAATTAATTAATTACCTACATATCTACTTAATCGATTTTCCCAAAAAACAGTAAAAAAAAAATCGTTAATACTTCAAATGGCAGTAACAATGAAAAAGGAGGCGAAGCCTCACTTTATGAAAAAACCCGAAACATTTTCCTCTAAAGAATAAAAATAAAATAAAACAAAATGTGTTTGTACCTCTCTTGGCATTAGAGTCCTGGGAATCACCCTGAAAAAAGTATAAAGGAAAAAACAAGTAAATTCAAACTCTAATTAATCAGACAAATCCTTTTCATTATTATTAATTCAATCAAATACTGACCCAATGACATGACGGCCGCCGTCATAAACGGCCTGTGAAACAAGGCCCATGAGCCCAATACTCCCTCCGCCATAGACCAAATCTATGTCTCTCTTAACCTTCAATTTAACCACTATCATTCATTAATTAAGAAGATAATTAATAATTAATATTCTTAGAAATGGGTAAGTTACAGCCATCGCATATATGTCCACTAACATTTACTGTCCCTGAACTATTTCACTGGAACTTAACACCCCTTTCACCAGGGGGGGTTATCTGCCATATATACTTCCCAAAATGATAAGCACTACTGAAATACCCGAGGGATGATTCATGCTACTGAACGTATACACGAGGGGGTTATTTGAACTTTATCCTTTCGGAAAAAATGAGACTTACTAATTCATGGCCGAGCTCAATTGCAGCAATTTGATAGCTCTGCTTCTTCCCTGGGCTGCTCCCACAAAATACACACAACCTTTTGAACCTTGAAGATGGAGCTCTCTCCATTCTCTCTCTCTCTCTCTCTCTCTTCTCTCTCTTTCTCTCTAAGGAATTTCACTATATTTATTGTGGTGTTGTTTTCCCCCTCTCTGTTTATTAGCACTACGGAGGAGGAGGAGACGCGTTTGTCTTTTAAAAACCCATGAACTGCCATGAGATTTTGGTAGGGCCCACTGTGGTTTATCGTTTGAGGAGAAATTGGGAGTAAGGTATTGTGTTCCGCAGGAGCAATTAAGAAGGCCACCAGGACTCAATGCGCCTTGGCGGCCAATTAGATTAGTTGTTTTTTTTATATATTTTTATTTTTTTTGCCCCCTGTGAGAAAACTATATGATTTTGTCACGTGATTTACTAGGCCGCCTCTTATTAGATTAACTGTTTTACCATAACGAAATAGGTAATCATGGTAATCGAAAATTTATTGTTCAACCCCCCAACCCTATTTTCCAATTTAACAAGCACCCGTCGATGTCAATGAGATGTTAGTTTTGGTCCCAGCATAGGTAGTAGAGTTTGGGTTGACTTCTGGGTGCTACAATAGATGGTCATTCTAGGAGCAACGCATTTTGTTAAGGTTAAGTATCAGAAAACTTCTCTTTATTTTGGATGATTACAAGAGTAACCTCTAGGGGTGCTAAACCGTATCCGTATCCAAGAAAATATCCGTAACCATATCCGTTAGGATACGAATATGGTTACTCAAATCTATAACCGATAGGATATGGTTACGGATATGGTTTTGTAGTGAAATATCAGTATTCGTATCCGAAATATCCGAATACATATTAGTCATACTCTTACGATAGTTTCGATTCTTAGATTATGGATTTGTGGTTAATTTTGATGATCAAGATGTCTAATCTTAACTTTTCAATTATAATGAACATATTAACAAACTATTTTGTATCACATGAACTATGTTTTTCTCAATACTATGTAGTTTTCTCATATCTGTTTTGTATATGCATGCATATCCGCTTGTATATCCGTAACCGTATCCGATTTTAGCGGATATGGTTATAAATTTTTCTTACCGAGGTATATCCGTATCCGTATCCGCATCCGAGATGGGTAAGCGGATATGGATATGATAAGCATCATACCGGAGCCGTATCCGGACCGAATGCACCCCTAGTAACCTCTCATAGCTTTCACAACATTAGAAAAAGCCCCTCTTAAGTTAGGGGTTATTAGAAAACCATCTTTAAATTTGAATTGGAAAAAACTTTTAACAACTTTAATGATAAGTTTCACTAACAATAATATTCACCTACCTTATTTTATTCACACATGCGAAAATTGTGTTTATGATATTCAGCTTTTTTTTGGGTGTGTGGGTGGGGTGGCGTGGGGTGGGGTGGGGTGGCGTGGGGGTTGTTCTGATAAACTGTAAACTCAAAGGGGATTTTTCTCATCACCCCTAAGTTAGGGTTTTTTTTTTTATATTTTGAACGCTATGCCGTGTAAACTGATTATGGTTTAGAGTTAAGGGGAGATATCTAATATTTTGAAAGCTATACGAGTTTAGGTGATAATTGTTTAAAGTTAATTGGAATTTCCTTATATTTAGCCTTTTTTTTAATTTGAAATTGCGATGCTTTTCTTGGGAAAAAAAAGTAAAGTGCTAGAACTTATTTTTATGAAGAAAGTTTTTGGCTACTTGTTAAGCATCCGAGGTGGGGAAGCTGTATCGTACCTCACGACTACAAACAAGAAGCAAGAAAGTATAAAATAAATACTGTTTTTGTTATTCCTTTTTTAAAAAAAAGTACCGTTCTAGCTTAAAATTATGTATTAGTGTAGTTTTTTTTGCAAAACTTTATTATAGGTCTTCAATGTATTAGCCAATTTTTATTGAGGTTTTAATATTTGAAAGTCATCAACATAGATCTCTAATATTCTCTTCGTAATCAAATTAGGTCCTTTTTGATATATTATGTTAGCTATTGCTAACGTGGCAGTTGATTGGACAGTCTCTCTCCTTTTTACCACGTAAACCCTTACAAGTTTTAAAAATTATAAACACCACTCCAAACCTTTTAAATATTATAATTATCCCCCTAAATTTTTCAAAAGCAGCAATTGATCCCCTAAAAAAATTTACAAACGCCCCTTAAAAGTTCTAAAAATTATAAATAGCACCTTGAATATTATTTGTAATTTTTAAACTTTCAAGAGGCTATTAGTAAAATTGTTGAGGGTTTGTTTATTAAAATTTGAGGGTCTATTCATAGTTTTTTAAACTTCTAGGAGCTGTTTGCATATTCTAAGCAGATCCCCTAAAAGTTTTCTAAACAGCCCTCTAAAACTTTTAAAAATTATAAATAACCCCCTAAATTTTTATTAAAACCCTTCTAGAAAATATGTCAACAGCCTCTAAAGTTTTGAAAACTATAATTAGACTTCTAAATTTTCACAAATATGATATAAAAAATATACAAATAGCCCCCTAAAAATTATAAAAATTATAAATAAATTTTAAGGTGCTATTTGTAATTTTAAAAAAAAATTAAGGGGTTATTGTGAAATTTTTAGAGGATCACATGTAGTTTTTGAAATTTTTTGGGGGGCTATTTATAATGTTCAAAACTTTTATAATTTTTAAAACTTGTAAAGGGTTACATGAGGAGAGAGAAAAGACAATCCAGTTAGCTGTTACGTCAGCAATAGACAATAGAAAATCACAGAAATGATCTAATTTGATGATGGAGAAAACATTAAGGACTCAAATAAGATTTAGCTAACACATGAGGGACCTCTAGTGAGATTTTGCCTTTTTCTGTAAATTGCACTTAATATAGTTTCTCACTTGTTGCACTTAAATACCACTAGTGGTGGGAAAAAAATATATCATAATGTTTCCAAAATTTGCATGTTACTACCATCTATCATGCAAACAAGGAAATTTTCACTCGAATGTTTCTATGTAATAATTACATACCAATTTTAGAGCTTTCTAACCATTAATATTATCTAAATTTGCTATAAGTTTCTTTTCAAACTTATCTTAATTCAACATTAAAATAGAGTTTGAAAAATACATTTGGTTCAACAAATTTAACAAATTTAATGGTTAGAGAGCTCTAAAATTAGTATGTTTGTATTACAGAGAAATAGTTAGGCAAAAATTTTCAAGTTTACATGATCGATAGTAGTAACATGTCAATTTTGAAAATGTTATGGTATTTTTTATACCAAAATACAACTAGTAGTATTTAAGAGTAGCAAGGGGAAAACTATATGCTATTTAAGTGCAATTTATCCCTTTTTTGTTGAAATAATAACAATATAATAAGTTTTCTGCCAAAAAAAGGTTTCCTATGACGTCTTTCAGGTACAATTTGTTGAATGCAATAGTTCTTAGTTAGCATTCCTCATAAAAAAATGTTGACGGGGATCTAAAACAACGTCATGTTATACCAGTTTAATCCTAATTTTACTATATTTTTTTATTTTCTTTTTGATAGATGAGTGGAAACTAACTAATATAAATATATGAGAAAATTAACGATAAAAGTGTTGAAGGAAGAAAATTTTAATTGGCTACAAAGAAAAAAAAAAGGGTCTAGTAGTAAGTGAAGGTAATTTTTTTGTTTCACCATATTACAAATTTTTTCATTTTTGTACTAACACAAATAACTATATCTGAGAATTTATGAAATTGTCCTAAAAGATACTGAGTTATCATGGACCCTACTCTTTTGCTTATGATAGTATAAAAGTAATATAAAATTTATATGCTAAATTATCAGAATTGTTGACACACATTTAGACAATTTGATATTTTATATTACTCCGATGACAGTTCGATATCTTTTATTGACCCTGAAGGCCAAATAGACCTAAAACTTGGTCGACAATAAGAAAGATTTGAAATTGGTCTCTCAAATCTTTGCTATTTTGATATTAGTCCCCGAAATCATGAAAATTCGAAAGTAGTTTAACTTTTTAGCTTAATTATAAATCCAAACTCGTTTTAAATTCTCATCTTCTCTATTTCATCACCTTGGAAACCCTTATCCATTTAACTCAATTATAAATCCAAACTCATTTTAAACTCTCATCTAGTTTATTCACCCCCTTACAAATGTGAGAATTTTTGTAAAAATTTTTCCAAACCGGGCTAAGCTTCGAACTACATATGTGTTATAGTATATATTGAACAAAAATACACTATAGCGAAGTGGTTGAAATCTATTTGAGCAAATCATAGGTCACAGGTTTAAGGCTTGCCTCAGCTGCTTTAATCTAATACTCTCTATAAGTTTAATGTTAGACTTTGACTTGGGCTCAAACTCAGTTCAGGTCGTGGATCAGGGTTAATCGAGCTAAAGTAAAATGGGTGCTTTGTAGGTGCACTTGGCATTTAGCACATTGCCATAGGTGGCGCACCGTCGGCAACAAGCATGGGCGTTCGTATAGGTGGCGCACCGTTGGTAGCAACGCTAGCCGCTCGTGCTTCGTCGTATAGTTTGAGCGTAGGGGTGATCATACTTCGGAAGAAACTGAGTTAACCAACCAAACTGCCCGAACTTTAGCAGTTCCGGTTCGGTTGTAAACTGACTTTGGGTCAGTTCGGGTTGAGCAATTGGATTTTTGTTATACATTAAGGACCTAATTTGATGATGAATTGGATTTTTGTTAGTATCATCCCGCGTCTAAGGTTTAAACTGCGAATCCCAATTAATTCGCGTTCTATCACGGCTAATTAACGCAGTTTCCTTTCATAACTACTTTCCTAATCTCCAAACATGGTTTCCTTTCATAACTAATTTCCTATTCTCTATTGTTCCTAATTAATCGCAACTGGTTGAGATTTGAGATACAGGACCACACGTCTTCGACTCCGAATGTTTTCTCTCAAAAGTCTCTTTATCGATGATGCTTCTTGCTTGTGTTTTTCCGCCTTCATTTTGTCTTTCCACTTTCCATCATCTAATAGCTCAAGCATGTGTGGACTCTATGGACTAATGGAAAAATTGTTGGGATCTATACCAATTTCCTCACATAGGTTCTTCATTGATTCCATGTCATAATAGTTATACCAATATATTGATCTTTACTTGAAGGTCTCGCGTCAAGCACGAACGCAACCCG